ACGATCCCCTACGCCGCGAAGCTGCGCGCGATGAAGCGGCGGCTCGAGGTGCGACGGCGCGACCCCAAGGCCGAGATGCGGCTGAATCGCCGGCGGACGAGGTGAGGGGGAGGGGGGTAGGGGGACGTGACGGATGGATGACAGGTGGACCGGGGCCTTTTTGTTCTTTCGTTTCGATTTCATCCTTAGCTGTTGCCATTCCTCAAGGTGTTTGAAGAAGGCGAAACTTAGTGGTTCACATTTTTCTTAAAGCTTATGCAGCGAGGCATCTTTCCTGCGATAAGAATTAGCATAATATAAACCTACCAAAGGGGAGTCTCCTCTCCTCTCCTTCCCTTTCCCCTTTCCTGCCATCATGTGTGTGGTCTTGTGGACTTTTCCCATCTATCGCTGTCCTTTGCGGGACGTGTTGTGGTTTAGCAGCTCCCAACCTTTTCTCTATTCCTTTATCTTGTTATTAAAGTTGTTTCCTTAAGGAATGGAGACGTCAATAAGATTAAAGTGGTGAATAAGCATTAAGGGGTGAGATCACGGGAGAGGTAAATTGAAGATATTTTTTGAAACATTTTTGCGTATTCTAAGGAAAATTTTTTCTAAATATTCCTTTTCCTTGCTTTCATTATTATATTATGATATCCGTGAAAGAAGGGAAGGACTCCGTTTAATGGCCTGTTGTTGTACCGATGCACAACAAAAAATACGTGATTTATTTTTAGCATGCCGCTTTGTAGCCTTCCCCTTCGACCGACCGTCACCCATATTTGTCTTTTTGGATATTTGTATTAATGGGGCGCTCATGGTATGGAGCTTTGGTGTAGTCGTTAGCGATGGGTGTTCAACAAAAAATAAAGCTTGGCTGTTTCTTGGCATCGTTCACGGAATGATAAACATGATGTTTGGCATTGCCATTATGTTTACCATACGCAAAAAGATTAAAAAAGGTATTGAGCCGAGTACTATTTCCCTTTATTTGCTTCTCTTGGATCCTGTCATGACGGCGTACATAGTGTACCTTCTGTGGGAGATAATTTGGATATGCTGTCTGTTGTGGCGCTACACTGAGTCTAGCACCGGCGATCCATGTCGGGATCATCAGAACGCGCAGGTCCTTTTTTTTCTTGCCTATTTTTTAATAGGGACATTCGCTTTCATTTTTACATTCGCGACGGAATGGTTTGCAATGCCGCGGTGGCGCGAGCGAGCGCATAATAACTGGGTTATGAGGCAACGACAGGCAATGACAACCCAAAGCTACATTCCGATGAATCATGCTAGTAGCAATGATATTCAGGATACAAGATTATCGAGAAATACGAATGGAAGCATCTATTACCATCGCGAGGCGTTACCCACAGTAGGATTGTCGCGCTCGAAACACGAGCGCTGGGAGGAGGTCGCCCACGACTACTCCACGTTGAACGAAACAATCTCTACTGCTGTTTCCAGCATGCGAGAGGGAGCTGCTTCTGCAGCGGTGGTCGCCGCTCCCCTCACGCCAAGGTCGGTCTCCTCGACGTATTCGAGGGCGAGTGCGGGCAGACTATTAGCGCCTCCTCCCTCCTCCACTTGGCGAGCTGATCCCGCCGCATCACCAGCACAAGCAAAGGAATGATGCGATATTGTGCAGTTTTTAGGTTTACAACTAGGAGCGTAAGGAGGGGGAAGGGGGAGACATCAAGTAAGGGGAACTCTGCTGTGAAAATGCTATCCATAGAAAGGAACCTTTTCTTTTGAGCTTCGACTCCACCGGGTGTAGATGCAGTCGATAGTTTAATCCACGATGGTGGGGTTTACTGTGACGTAGGATGAAGTGGGAAACCTAGTCTGGTTTGGCTTAAGGGGAAAATATTCGCTCGAATGATGATCAGATATTTTCAGAGCACTCGATACATCATGCATTCTGTCCAAAGTGAATAGAGTCGTGACTGTGTGCATCTTCGATCAGGGCGATGAGATATTTATAAGGTGTATCCGTTAATTGCGTGAATTTTTGTTTACTTTGCATTCTGAATAATATTGCTGTGCACAACTCTCTTTGCTTGCTAGATCGTATTTAACGGACGTTTTTTTCCTCTTGATGCTTTGTGATTTGATATGTTTTAGCGCATTTGACTGACTCTTCCGGCAAATAAAAGTAAGTAATTTCGGTTTTATCCACCTTATGGTCATTGCTTTTATTTGACAGAAACTTAAGGAGTAATTTTTTATCTCCATCATCACATCCTCTTTTATGGCTATAAGGAAATGCATTGATTAAGCCACTTCAGTGAGGGATCCACATTCTTACTTGCGTTTAGGAGCGACTCCGCGTTTCTGATGCAGCTGTGGTGGTTTTTTTGATCCTCTCGTCATTCGATTCGACACGTTTCACGGAAAAAAAAGCGATCAAACGGAAGGTTCCCTTATTATCACCTCCCGAGTTTCTGCTATAGGTTTTAGTTTCACCAATTACTATAGTATATTTTGATTAATCTTTTATGGACCGAATGTGTCACCGTGTTCATTCCCTTAAACTGGCAACACCGGCCAGTAGAAATTTGTTGTCATGCAAATCAATCTAGCTGTTGGACTAACATCACTTGGGGACAATATCCGCAAGGCTATGCGAAGAAGATATAATATACAACCTAATATCAGTCTCCTAAAATTATCTGTTATTTATTTCATTCATATCTTCCTTTCCTGGGTCTTTAAATTAGGAAATCCTTTGCTGATGTAATTAGATACCCCAGGATCTTCCTTCTCCGTCCTTTTGAAATATTGCACCTGATTTTAGCCGTAACGTTTCTGCTTTAGCTACCACTCAGTGAAATATTATATAAAAGTGAAGGTGGAAAGCAGAACACGACTACTCTATACATACGTAAATATACATACATATATTTATGTATATATATATATACATTTATTTATTTATTTATACACATAAATATATTTGAAGTTGAAACGGAAATCTTAACAATTCTGTATTTAGCTAATTATAGTTAGTATTCACGATGTCTACGAAGGCGAACGACACCATGTTGCTCGCCAGTCGCCATGCGGCATTGGATGGGATCGAATCGCTAATCCATTTGAGCGACGAGTGTGTGACACCGCATCACGAAATGAACAGGCGCGCTCGCCAATACGCTTTGACGTGCGATTCGAACGTTTATCATAATCCCCACACAATGTACAGCACAAATACTCAGCTTCTTACTACCAGTGATTGGCAGCAAAAGCAACTACAGCAGCATTACGCTGAATGCCTAGAAGCCGAAGTAAACAAGTTCTGGAGTCAACAAGACCAGGCGTGTAGACTGCTATGCGATGTAGCACTGCAAAAGGACTTAGCCATGCTGCGAGAGTTAGAAACCCAACAACGAATGGTGCTTGAACGAGATACCTTTGACAGTTACCAGATGATAATGCTTAGATTTTGGGAAAAAAAATCGCTAATTCAAGAAATTAGCTGGCGTGAAAAAATTCATGTAGAGACGCTAAGGCTAACGATAGCCGATGAGCAACGCGAGCGTGAGGTGCTGAAAGCCCATCAAGAGGGCTCCGCCGCCGCGGTTTCACTGATGAACACCTTTATCGATACCCTCCACCGCATGATTCACGAGCATAACGACCAGACGGCGACACGTGCCGCAGATTCCTCTTCACCTGCGTTGAACGAGCCGCCACAGCGGCAGTCTCTGTCAGTGATGGGAGGCGAAAATAGTGCGAGTTGCACCCCTTCAACGTCTTCCCCAAGCCAGGCCCCGCTGCACAGCCATAAAGAGGATTACCCTTTCCTGAAAGAGCTACCGACGATCATACGGGAAGCGGTCGACTCCGCGCTAAGTGCACAGAGGCAAAATTCGCATTCGCCGGCTTCAGAGTCGACAACACCGATCGCACAGAAGTCTGCCGTAGTCGATAACTCTACTACACAAACTGGATTTTCATCCTTCCCCTCCACCTTGCAGCGCGAGCAAACCCTGCTGTTTGATAAGATGCAAAATGCGTATGAAAGACATACCGAACTCTTACTGGATTTATTCGACGATAAAATGGAATGGGTTGTGGACAAAAGTATAAGTCAATCGGGGATGATCTGGGAGGGCTTGCGGCGGAACCTTGATGTGCAAACGGCGGTAAAAGAGGTCGAGATAAAATACTTACAAGAGGAGATCCAACGACTACGATCTCAGCCGCAGGTATCTCCATTGCCTCTCAATTCTACTCTCGAAAGTGCTATATCACCATCACCAGAATACGGCTTGGCTGATCACAGCCCAACCACCCTCGCGCTTCCGAGTGAACAAATGATCTCCCGAGTGAATTTATCGACGCTTCCGAGTGCCTCGATCTTCCGCAATTCGTACGAGGCGCCGTACATCCCGTTTACGACGCGTCGGCCAAAAAGGCCGCCCAGTCTTTCCTTCGAGGAGCTTCTCGCGGAGGCGCTTCGCCTGGGCGTGCGGCCGGCTTCGGAGCCCCTCACCGCGCCCACGACTGCCGCTGTTCCCACCACCATCAACATCCCCGCACCCTCGCCCGTTGCATCCCAGCAAAAGGAGAAGGAAAAGGCGCGCGCGCGAGAGAGAGAGAGGGAAAAGAAGGTTAGTCGCCAGCCCCAGGCGATGGCTCCTTCCTCGAGGACGAGTCCACCTACCGCTCTAATAGTGAAGCACTTTTCTGAGAGCCTCGATGAGACCTCGGAAAACGTGGAGCCTTCCCCTGTGCGAGGAGAATTGAACGTGAGCTCCTCCGTTGAGATGCCCTCGAGGCAGCTAAGGCAAAATCCAACGCGAAACTCATCTCAGAAGAGTGGGCGCGCCGCTACGCGCGAGGACGCGATGGCGACGGAGAACTCCTCCCGTCTGGGAACTACCGAGAGGGCTCCGTTAAAGGTAAAACAGCTTATCAAACCGATTCGTCAGGAGTTAAGCGCCTCTGAGAGCGATGATGGGGCTACGCTGACGCTGAGCAGTGCCCCTTCGCTTTCCTCGGTAAAGCGCAAAGGTGGGGGAAGACGCGCATCGAGAGAGGAGCGCGATGCGGCCCTCGAACAACGCGCAAGAGAGTTTGCGGATTCCCTCATTCATCCCGAAAAAATAGGGCATTCGAGCGTCGTGGAGGCTCCTCCTGCGGTGTCGAACGAGAAGTCGAAACTTCACGCCTTAACGGAGATGCTGGTTCGGAAAAGTCAGCAGCTCAAGAGCTCTTCGTCAGTATTCAAAACCTCATCGGAGCCGCAGCGGGTTTCGTTGACACGGGACCGCACCGCGAGTGATTTATCGATTTCATCGAGTGACATCACCCTCACCTCGATATCCTCCGCGCGTGGAAAGCCGAAGCCAAGCGTGGAGGCTGAGCACGAAGAGCGAATTTCCTCACGCAGCGCAGCGGCGCAGCCGGCTACGCGCAACACCACCTTAAAGCGTAGTACTGAGCAAAATAAACCGCCTCCCAAGCCTGTGATGAGGCAAAGCTCATTCGACGATGATACCGAATAAGGCAACTCAATAGAAGGCAGCCTTTTGGTAATTTTGAGGTAAAAAGAAGCCTCTGTTCTCACGCAAGTCTGTATTAGGGGGGATAACGGTTTAAAACTCCTTCTGTTTGCTTCCAATGCTAAACCATACTTCACCTCTCCTTCCTTTACAAAATAGAAACAATCTAAACAGAATTTGCGAAGTCCTAGGGAGCCGTTGACTCAGATGAGATTTTTTCTATTACTATGCTTGTATTTTTATTTCCTTCGAACAAAGGAGTGAAGTTACCCATGGACAAGCAGTGCTGCTTTCATTTCTAGAAGCTTAATCCCTTTTTACTCATCTTATGTTGTTGTTATCAAACGCCAACTGTGAACCAAAGGGGCAATTTACGAGATGCCTTTGAGAGACGCATTTATGAAATCGAGAGTCTCCTGGAATTGTATCGCCTTGCTCGCTTCTTTTTTTCCTGTTCAGCAAATTATACAAGAAGTTTAGTTTTAGTCTCACGCAATTCGCGGTTAAGGTTGTCCAAGGCAGTTCGAAAAAAGAGAAATAGCATAAAGACGTCTGTGATCATCCTTTATACGCGGCCACTCACGTGCTATTCATACCTGTATCGACTATAAAGCACTCTTAGAGACACAGCCATCCAATTTTTTTGTTCTCTCAACCACAGCCGATCGACGGAATTGCGTGAACCCCCCCAAAAACTGACGCATCGACCCTCCATCAAATAAATCGATGCGCTTATTATATGAAATATCCATGATCGTGCAGGCGACGGTGCTCTTCGCGTTCACCTACGTGAGCGTCTCCTTTTGGCTCTCGTGGGCCTCCGACGCGGATCCGGCAGCTTTTTACAAAACATTGAGCGCTTACCCCGTCCAAGTGAATGGTGATCCGCGATGGATTCGACAACTTCGCGATGACGATTTGAATGATTTAAAGGATATGAAGGATTGGAATGATCTCGAGGGGATTTCACGCGATCCGCCCTCTCTCCCCATCGCTGCCGTTGTCGTGATCGTCGGGGGGGGGTCTCCTCGCAGGCGGGTTCTCGCCGGCTACCGCGCCGCCCTCCTCACCGGCGCCCCATGGCTGCTCCTCGTCGAGAAAGGAGGGGCAGGAAACAACCGAGAAGGAGAAAAACGAGGGGAATGGAGCGAAAAAGAAGGCGAAGGGAGAAGCCCCGCGGTGGAGCTCCTTCGTGGGCTGCAGCGCCCTCTGGAAGCGCTCTTTCCCTCTGCCGTTTGCCGCGCCCTCCCCGCGGGGTTTCACGCGGCGGCGGCGGAGCTCCTCAGGGGGGGGGAGGTGCCTTCGTTGGCGGCGTGGCGACGCGCCGCGAGGGGGATCGCGGCGCTCCACTACGACAACGATCGTGTAGAGGAAAAAAAAACCTCAGCTGGGGTTCCTCAGGAGAAAACCCAAACCCTCGCCGCGCTGCTCGTCGAGATGATGGACGATGATACGAGGCGGGCGTCAGCTCCCCTTCAGGAAGGGAGTGAAGGGGATTTAGAAGAAGGGGAAATCGTGATTTATCCAGACCAGGGTGAGATGGAAGAGGTGTTGCCGGCCTCACGAGATTTGGATTTCGTGGAGAGCGACTTCGTTGAGGAGGAGATGGATTGGCAATTCCCTCGATTGTGGACGCCTCCTCATCTTCCGCAGCGTCAATACGTTTTGCCGGGGATTGTCGAGGTAGAAATCACCGAGAAGATGGACGGGAAGAACCCACCGCTTCACCACCCGGATCGCGTTGCCGATAAGCTTCAACAGCTGCTTGAGCAGAGCGCGATTCGTCGTCTGGCGAGGCATCAACTTCGTGGGCGTGTGGGGCGTAGCGGAGGGGATTTCTCCGCCAACCACACCTGCCCGCCTCACGGCGCGGACAAAGACGCCTTGTGGCTGCTGAAAGAAAGTTATGGGGTGGTGTTTGTGGGCAGCATCGGGGAGCAATACCGCATTCAGCTTTTGTATCAACGCGTCTTTAACGCAGCGAGGAAAGCCGCCTGGCAAAGGCTTTGTCAGCTGATTGCCACGCTTAGGGGAGGATCGCCGAATTCCACGGAGGGCGGTGCCCCTCCATCTGGGGATACCTCATTGTTTTCGAGCCTACCTGGCCGATCACTTGCGACGCGGATCTTTGTATTTCCCGTGATTGCGGAACCCGATCAGAATAGTTTTCCAAATCCTCTGTGGTTGCCTTATAACAATGAGCTTCCACTCGATGCACCGACGAATAGCTACCGGATTACTCGATGTATTGCCTCTTACAGTCATTATCTTTATAAAAACTACCGCCAATGGATGGATTCGATGCTTGTTGCGACTTTTTCCCTTCGCCAGATGAATTATATGACTATCGTCCATGAGCTGGTCGCTGATTTCATGGATGGTAGGATAGATCGCCGAGATATCTTACACTTCGTTGAACATTCGTTTCATCGAATCCGTTTGAAAAGGCGGTAGTGATTTTTTGACCTTCATCAAAAAATTAATCGCCTCAGAGCTCTGAATTCATAAAGGAATGTATTACCCATGCTTGCTGATAAAGTCCTCTCAGCATGCCTTTCTTTTCTGCTACATAGTCATGCGCGTTCGAAATTTACAGCCACTTTACCCCCTCTTTATCTACATCACTCCCTTTTTTGTATGCAACCGTTTTCCTTCGCCCTCTTAAATCGGCTGCTCTATTTTTTTTCCTTATTCTGGCTCTAAAGGGAACACAGGAAAAGAGTTGTGTGCTTTGCATTACTCAAAGTCCATATATAGTCCTACCTATATCTATATATATATATATCTTTTTATATCGCTCTCTCTTTAAATATCTATCTCTATATATAATATATATAGATATATAGATATTTAGATATCGATCTATCAATCTATATGCGTATATCCGTATAGTACGGCGGCCGATTATTTTCGCAGAATCTTCTCATTTCTTTCACGCCTGTGTTCGGGCTCATGGAGAAGGCGGAGCTGCTGAAGGGTGAGGGCAATCGACTCTT